GTCTGCAGCATGTCCAACCACCTGTTAGCACCAGTCACATAACCTCCATTCAGTCTTCTCTCCAGGGTCACTCTTCTGTGTGGGCGGAGTAGGGGGATGTCACCTCTAGGCTGCATTCTCATCCCCACTCATCATTTCTTCATTTACTAAACATTTATTGATACAGTAAGTGCCAGGCACTGAGGATCTAAAGACGAGTAAGATGGGTCGTTGACCTCAAGGAGCTTGTAATCTAATGGGAGGAATGTGTAGTTCAGATTTTAACCTTGTCCAATGAGAGGTCTGACCTTTGTTCTTAGCTTCTGAGAGGTAATCTTTAAGTCTTTGGAATGTCTTGCCTCATAGAAGTGTTTACCTGGGGGCTTAGGCTACACTGGATACCCTAACAATGTGATTTAGTGGGGAGCTTTGGCTCAGCCTCTTGAAGGGCTGGAGACTTAAGTCAGCCAAATGGGCAGCCAGTCAGGTCTATATGACCAAATCCCAATAAAAACTCTGGACACCAAGGCTCAGGTGAACTTGCCTGGTTGGCAATACCTCGTGCATACTGTCACACATCAATGCCAAGAAAATTAACACTGTTCATAACTCCACTGGGGGAGGACAATTGTAAGCTCTACGTTAGGAAATTTTCTGGATTCTGCACCATCCATCTTTCCTTCGGCTGACTTTAATCTGTAGTTGTTAACTGTAATAAACCACAACCATAAGTATAACAGCTTTCAGTGAGCTCTGTGAGTCCTTCTAGCAAATTAGCAAACCTGAGGTGCTCTTGGGGACTCCCAAACATAAAACCACTGTCAGAAGTCAGGGTGATCTTGGGACTCCTGAACTCTGCTGTTAGTGTCAGAAGTGAAGTGGTCTATGGACTATTCTCTAATTTCACAGAGAGGGAGATAGATATGTGAGTAAATTAGTGTGATCTAATGTTATACTCACTATGGGTGTTGGCTGTGTGGGATGGGCAAGGCACAAAGATGAGAGGAGTTAATTCTACCTGAGAAGAAAAGATTCAAACAGGTGTCTCTTGAATAAAGTTTTTCAAAGATGTGTAGGTAAGTTCACCAGGTACAAGGAGTCTGAGGAGGGATAGTGTGAGGGAGGAAAGTATGGAACAGATATATTTGTACTGCGAACTGTAAAGGAGAATTGCTAAAGAGGCAGAAAAGGAGGCAATGTAATTTTTGAAGGTGGAGAGAAAACCTAAGCCCAGGTCATAAAAAAACTTGTCTGGGGGGCTGAGAAACTTCACATGTAGCTTATAGGCAATGAGAAGTCCATGAAGTACATGATCAGATTTGCATTTTTAGAAAGGACCACTCTGTCAATAATTGTGACAGGGATGGATTGGGTAGGGGGGCCTGGCAACATGAGTGGCAGAGAAAACTAGGTAGGAGACTGGCAATACTCCAGGAGGCAATGAGGCCTGAATTAAGGCCTTAGCTGGTAGAGGAAATAGAGATGAGAGAGGTGGGATTTAAAGGATATGGTGACTCATTAGCTGTGAAAGGTAAGAAATGGACAGGAATCATCAGAATAATTCCTGGTTCTTAGCTTATGCCACCAAATTGTCATAACAAGGACAAGAATCCCAGGAAGAACATGACTGAAGGAGACTGAAGAGGAAAGATATGATTTCAGTTTGGGACATGCCAAGTTTGAGGTGACTGTGCAATGACTGGTAAGATATGTATGTGTATGTATACACACACACAACACACATAAATATGTAGTAATCTCGAGCTAAGGGCTGGAAATAAAGATAGGAAAAGCACAGAGATGGCATGTCAGGTAAGAAAAAGCCTGGGGAGTATTCCCTTGGATTTGTAAAACAGGAGACCACTGGTCCCTTCATGAGAGCACTGTAAGTAGTGGGAACAGAAATCAGGTTTTCAGTGGGTTGAGACATGAATGAGATGTGAGCAAGTGGAGAAATAATGAATATAGACAAATCACTGCTAAACACAAATGGATTTGGTTAACGCAAATTTTTCCATGCATGCTCTAGAACCCAGCATGACTTTTCTGGGCCAACATTATAATAACCAGGCTACTTATTCTGCACCTACTGGTTGAAAAGCCTAGTCCTTTCTATGTCCATGAGTATCTGAGATGAAATATGTGATACATGATCGCAAATAGTTCCTTGCTAACTCATGTGAAGCTGGTCCTCCAGCCAAGGCAAGCAGGCTAGGCCACACCAGGCTATGGCATCAGTTAGGATTCTTTGGTTGCAAGCCCTGAAGCTAGCTTTGCCTAATTTAAGTGGATAGAATTGGATGCTCACAGGTTTCCCAGCAAGAATAAGAAACAGCCTCTTGCCCCTGTAGGCAAAATAAATGGATTCCAACTGATTCACTCTCTTTGTTCCTCTGCTCAAGACACAAATTCTTGGTAGGAAGCATATGATTGGTCCATCTTAAGTCATGAGCCTGACCTTTGGTTAAGTGAGGGCAGTTCCCTTGTGTTGTTTCTATCTAACCATACTGCATAGAGAAGAGAGGATCCCACAAAAGAGAAACTAGGAGCTGTTCAGAAAGGTGGCAAAAAAACTAATAGATAATCACAGCAACCTATAACACAACCATCTTTGAAACAGGTGTCATGAGGTGGTTTTACAATTCACAAGGAAATATGACCAAATGACACTTTCTATTCAGTGATTAATAATACCAGCTCCTCAGTTAAAAATATAAGGGGCATCTTTCAAAGACACATCCTTTAAGCTATCATTCAATAAAATTATGTTGTTCTTGAGTGGTAAGTTTAGCTGGTGAGTTCTTTTACTCATGCATCTATCCCCAGAGAGTGTCCTTTGGGGGAAGTAGTCCTAGACCTGATTATTTCTGGACAGAGCCTGGCCAGGTCACTACTGATCCTTACATGCACAGCTCCTGAAATGATGCAGTTGTCTGTGAGAGCACAGATAACACATTCAGAAGATCATCAAATGAAGACTAAACATCTAGGCAGCCTACAATATGCTCCTTGGCAAGAGGAACAGGATGTTCTTATTGCAGAATTGACCTAAATTCAGGAAAGAGCTTATTGATGTAGGCAAATCCTTGAATCTGCAGCCAGCAAGATCATCAGGGGTGAGTGGGTGGGTAGGTGTGGCTTCTTCCTTCTCTCTTCTCCTATTTTAGAGAGTCAGCTTGAGCAGCCCTCTAAGAGCCGGACGCTGAGGTAGTTCCACTGGATGTGCTGAATTTGTGTAATTAGGCTCCACTTAACCCCTACTTCTGCCCAGACCTGTTCCCAGAACTAATCAACACAAAAGGATAGTTATGTATCTTAAGAGACAAGATCTGACCTGGATCCCTCTGAAATTTTGTCCACAGGACAAATGGTGGAACTGTGAAGTCCTTTTGTCCAGCAAAAGTCTAGAAAGGTGGAAAGCAGTATAGGGAGCAGAATGAGGTCATGGAAAATGGAACAAACATATTTCTTGAGCAACCAGAGCAGAAACTAACTGGTTAGTTTTAGATGCCATCTTCCACCCTACAGCTGCCAAAGAGCTTTAAGACACAAATCTGAATGGTATTTCACCTGCTCGAGGTTGCTCACTGGCTCTCTTTCACCTATGCCATAAAATCTAACAACTGGGTAACAAACCAGGTCCTTCACCATCAATCCCCTCTCTCTCCAGCCTCCTCCCTTATAACTCTCCAATCCTGCTTTATACTCAAGACATGCTCAGCCAACTTCAGTTCCCAGAGGAGCTTCAAACCAGTTCATTATGGTTTGACCCCCTCCTGTGAATTTGCATTTCCACCCCATACATACTGAATCAGGGAGCTCTGGTGGCATAGTGCCTAAGGCATCTGACTGCTAATCAGAAGGCTGGCGGTTCAAACCCACCAGCCCCTCCTTGGAAGGAAGGTTGGGCAATCTACTTCCGTAGTGATACTGCCTCGCCAAGGAGGGGTTGCTATGAGTCGGGTGGACTTCAAGGCACATAACAACAACATACGGAATCAAAATCTACATTTTAACAAGATCCCCGGGTGATTCTTACAAATCTCCAGGTGATTTTTATGTATACATAAGGATCTTGTTAAAATGTAGATTCTGACTCAGTATATCTAGGATGGAAATGTAAATTCTCATCAGAAGGTAGAACCAGAATTAACTGGTTTGAAGCTCTGGTTTGCAAAGCAAGCCCTGCCCTAATCTGGAGAGATGCAGCTGCATATCCGACTACTTCTGTGGGAACTTCTCCCCTTTGTCAGCAGAGCACACTTTTGTACCCTGCCCCTAGGAAGCCTCCCTTTGCTGTTCCCCAGGTCCCCAAGCTCTATGTACCTTTTCTGCACTAAAGCAATCATCCCATCATCTTGATGGGCCTATATGCTGGTAGCTTTATAGTCTCACTGGATTCTGAACTCCTGAAGGGCAGGTACCCAGTCCTGTCTACTCCACAACCACACTATTAACCCAGTCTATGTCTCAGGAGCCTAATATAATGCTTATCTCCAGGAAGGTGCTCAACCATTTGTTGAATGAGTGAATGAACTCTATTTGCAATTTATCTCTGACAATGTCTAAACCAAAGAATATCACGCTGGTCTTCTTGGAAACCAAAACCAAAACCAAACCAAATAGCGATCCTATAAGACAGAGGAGAATTGCCCCTTAGGGTTTCCAAGGCTGTAAATCTTTATGGAGGCACACTCTATATCTTTCTCTACAGGGCAGCTGGTGGGTTTGAACTGCTGACCTTTCAGTTGGCAACCAAGCACTTAACCACTGCATCACCAGTCTTCTTAGAAGAAGGAACATATTAAAATACCAAGAACTGCAGTTCCTGGTAAGACCTTTCAGAAAAATGACGGTTACCAACAGCAGCAAATGGAAACCCAGCAGAATGCTTAAGTGTTAAAATCAGAGTGAAATGGACCAAAACTTGAACAATAATAGTTTAGGTTGGCTGGGGAAAGAGGTGGGGGAAATTCATTGCTGTTTAAAGTTTATGAATCACAAACAACTTCTTCCTTAAGAATTATATATATTTACATTGGGGACCTGGGATATACTTTTCACAACAGGAGGAACTCAACCCCACCTGAACACTATCCCATCTGGGAACCAACTCTCCAACCCTCCAAATGTTTGAGCCAACATTTCAGAAAGGAAATAAGCTGGTTTCCAGATGGAATGCCTTTGGAAAATCCACTTTAAAATGAAGTCACCTGTTACAGTCACTGTCCTCCTCTCCAGCTTCCTTCTGGGGTCAGGCACTATCCCATGACTCCCAAAGGAAGCTGCTCTCTTTAGTTTTCCATGAGGCCCCCAGGGTGGTCTGGGCTATGGGGAGGGCTCTTTAGCTTGGGGGTAGACAGGTGCTCCAACTCATAGTGTCCATTCTCAGAGGCCTTGTGTGGGAGTTTCTCCTTCATGCCCTCCTTTTGGCTCCTCTTGTGCTCAATAATCTGCTGGAGCTGGTGTCCAGCATATTCTGGCTTGGTGGTCAGTGGACCAGCTGGCACAGCTACACCAAGAACATCTGATACCATGTAGGGGCGCAGCCAGCCCACCAGGGGAGTGCTTCCAGGGCTGTAGTGCGTTTGCTTGTGGTAGAAGAGAAGCCCATCCACCTACAAGGGAAATCACAGATCAAAATGACTTCTAGGGCCACGTGTTACAAGGTGAGTCTATATACACAGAAATAGCTCTGGTGGCCCAACTCCTTTTTCTGGGTCTCTTATCAGAGGAAAAAGAGTCCACTTTTCTCACACATGCAATTCTTCCTAATGAAAAATTGCCCTAGAAAATAAAACATAAACAGTACTTTCCTGTTTTGGGGTACTTTCATACTCACTATTTCATTTCACTCTCTCACCCACCATGAGGGTGTTTGAGATGGGGCTACTCAGGCTCAGGGAATTTTGGGGGCTTTTCAAAAGACATGCAGTGAGGGCTTGGGACCATAGTCACAAGGGACATCAAGCTCAATTGGCATAACATACTATACAAAACATTGTTCCACCTCCTACTTAGGCAAGTAGTGACTGGGATCTTAAAAGCTAGCAAGCTGCCATCTAGATGCAATGATGGGTCTCTGCTCGTCCAGAGCAAAGAAGAATGAAGAAAACCAAAATTCATGGAAACAATTAGTCCTAGCGACTGGTACACCATCCAATCTGCAGCCTATATGACTATGAGACCAGAAGAACTAGATGGTGCCCGGCTACCACTGTCATCCACATGAAAGGGGATCTATGTAGGAGATCCTTGATAGAGAGGGAGAACAATGTGGAACAAAACTCACAATCATTTGGAGAAAAAAAAGCGGGGAGGGCTAGGTTTGCTGGTCCAATAGAGCCTGGTGGAACCACTGAGACTAAGGCCCCTAGCTGCCCTTCAGGTATGGAATTGAATCTACACCTGTGTTTTCCATCCAAACAAAAGACAGGCATATGAATTGAATATTTACCTCAAGTAGATACACTCCTTGGAGAGAACAATCATGCGAGAAAGAAGGGCTGATTATGCACAGGGAGACAGCTCAGGGGGCAGGAGTGCATGGAGTGATGGATACTGGGAAGAGGTAACTATGGGGAGGAAGTGGAAGGAGAGCTGTTGCATTATGGTAAACTGTGGTCAATGTCATGAGACAAAGTATATGTGAACCACTGTATGGAAAGTAAATTTGCTCTGTAAATCTTCACCCAAATCACAAATAAATAAATAAATAAATAAATAAAAGACATGCAGTGAATCTAAGGTTTAATTATTGGTCTCTCCTCCTCTAGAGCAAAGAAGAGTGAAGAAAATCAAAGATGCATGCAAACAATTAATCCAAGGGACTAGTGGATTAGTAGTAAAGTTCAACAATGCAGAAAATAGCAAATGCTGGCGAGGATGTGGAGAGATTGGGACTCTTATACACTGCTGATGGGACTGTAAAATGGTACAAACTGTGGAAAGCACTATGGCGATTCCTTAAAATGTTGGAATTAAAAATACCATTTGACCCAGCCTTTCCATTACTAGGTATATATCCTAAAGTGAGAGCCATGGCAAGAACAGACATATGCACACCCATGTTCATCGCAGCACTATTTACAACAGCCAAAAGATAGAAACAACCTAGGTGTCCATCAACTGAGGAATGGATAACCAAATTATGGTACATACACACAATGGAATACTATGCAACTCTAAAGAATAACCTAGAATCTGCAAAACACCACATAACGTGGATGAACTTGGAGGACATCATGCTGAGTGAATAAGTCAATCACAGAAGGACAAATATTTTATTAGTCCATTATTATAAAAGTCAAGGAAAGGTTTATCTATGGAAGGAAATTTTCTTCGTTGGTTACCATGGGTGGGAGGGGAGGGGACAGAACACTGTTAGATAGGTAGAGATAAGTACTGATTTGGGTGAAGAGAAGGGCAATGTACCAAATGTGAGTGATTAACATGGTGGCATTGAGCAAGAGGAAGACATAGAGAGGTACATGGGAGGTACAGACAACAAAGATGAGCCCTTTTACACGTACAGTACTGGGTTGTCAGTGAAGGCAAACATGGGTATATGGGTGGATAGATGGGTAGACAGGCTGAACTAGTAGGTATGTCTATGAAGTCAGGAGTGTACCTAAGACCACATATAGGATTGGCAGACAGTGGTCCTGTAAGTGTACTTGCATGATCTGAATTCCTAGATGTATAGTAGAGCTGACAAGGGACAAGGTTGTAGTCACTTCTTGGTCAAAGCCAGCTACCCAGAAGAGCCAAGTAGTTGAACCTGTGGGCTCGGGACCACTGTCACAGGGGACATCGAGTTCAACTGGCATAACATACTACACAAAATACTGTTCCACTTCCTACTTTGGCAAGTAGCAGCTGGGATCTTAAAAGCTTGCAAGCAGCCATCTAGATGCAATAATGGGTCTCTCCTTGTCCAGAGCAAAGAAGAATGAAGAAAACCAAAGAATCATGGAAACAATTAGTCCCAGAGACTGGTACACCATGCGATCCGCAGCTATATGACTATGAGATCAGAAGAACTAGATGGTGCCTGGCTACCACTGTCAACCACTTGGAAGGGGATCTATATAGGAGATGCTGGATAGAGAGGGAGAACAATGTGGAACAAAACTCAAAATCATCTGGGGGAAAAAAAGCGGGGGGAGGGGGACCAGGTTTGCTGGCCTGATAAGAGCCTGGTGGAACCACTGAGACTATGGCCCCTAGCTGCCCTTCAGGTCTGGAATTGAACCCACACCTGTGGCTTCCAGCCAAACAAAACAGGCATAGAAGTTGAACATTTACCTGAGGTAGATACACTCCTTGGAGAGAATAATCATGGGAGAAAGAAGGGCTATTTATGCACAGGGAGACAGCTCAGGGGGCAAGAGTGCATGGAGGGATGGATACAGGGAAAAGGTGACTGTCAGGAGGAAGTGGAGGGGAGCTGGTGAATTTTGGTGAATTGTGGTCAATGTCATGAGACAAAGTGTATGTGAACTGCTGTATGGAAAGTGAATTTGCTCTGTAAATTTTCACCCAAATCACAATTAAAAAAAAAAGAGAGAGAGAAGAGACTAGTGGACTACGTGAACCTCAGCCTGCATGACCCTGAGGTCACAAGAACTAGATACTACTGCCAGCCTCTCTGAAAGGGATCACATTAGGAGATCCTGGACAGAGTGGGAGAAAAATGTGGAATAAAACTGAAAATAAAAAATATATATATACCAGGCTTACTGGTCTGATAGAGAATGGTGAAACCCTTCAAAGTATAGTCCTTTTATGCACACTCATGTTTATCACAGCACTGTTTACAAGAGCAAAAAGATGGACACAACCTACGTGCCCATCAGCAGAAGAGTGATGACCAAATTATGGTACATACACATAATGGAATGCTATGTAGCACTAAAGAATAATGTAGAGTCTACAAAACACCACATAATATGGATGAGCTTGGAGGACATTACGCTGAGTGAAATAAGCCAATCACAGAAGGCCAAATATAGTATTAGTCTGTTGTTGTGGAGGGTCAAGGAAAGGTTTATGTATGGAGGGAAACTTTCTTTGTTGGTTGGTTGCCAGGGATGGGAGGAGAGGGGAGGGAACACTGCAAAAAAAAAAAAAAAAAAAAAAAGTGCATCGACCCATGTCACTTTAGTTTTGTGTATTTCACTGTACATAAATTATATTTCAATAAAATGCATGAAAAAAAAAGTATGGTCCTTTTAGAAATAAAGAAACAAAATAAAAAGACATATAGTGAGTGTGAAGCAGATGTGGAACTTGAACCCAGATTCCATGTACTTTCTACTCCCTATAGGTCTCTGTACAATGGATGTGTTCCAAGCATGGAACAAAGCAGGCGAATTGGACACACCCTCTGGAGGTAGAAGATGGCTGAGTATAGGACAAACAGACCATCCAGAGAAGCCCTGCTCCCCAAGCCATTTTTGGCTGCCTGAACTTCCCTCTAAATTGTTTGTGAGCTATGTTCTGGGAAGCTCAGTTTTTTTCAACAGGAAGACCTCCTACAGTCCCACATTTTCTTTTCTGTGATTCAGTGACTCATCTCTAAAAAGCACTTATTGTCATTGGGGCATAAGGGTTATAAATAAAGATGGTGTTCTTACTACCTTCTTAATTGAGTCCCAGAAATGAAGACAACTCAGCCGTTGCCATTTCCTCATTTGGGAAGCTGTGATTCTTCTAGCAAAATCATATACAATTCAAGCAAATATCTGACAGTGACTAGGCAGAATTTTAAAGGGTATGTCGGGCAAAGGAAAGGTTTTTTTTTTTGAGCCTGAGGAGAGCAACTGCAGGTTTGGAGGATGGCCAAAGGCTGCCCAGGACTGAGGGGCTTCTGGGGAAATGGGACTTTCAGTTCCGAACCTGGGCAAACCAGGATGAATTAGGGTTAGGAGTTCATACCCCTGGAGTCTGTCAGTCACTACAGTCCCACTTTATAAACAGCTGTGGCAGTCAAAGAGCCTGGTCGTCACATCTGTAGCACAAAGAGGCATGTAAGGACCTTGCAATGGAAGACACTGCCCTTATCTGGGCCTCTGTTTCTCTATCTGTAAAATGAGGGAGTTGGATGATCTGTTAAAGGGCCCTTCCAGCTCTGGTATTCTTATTTATCCCAAACCACTAAGTGCACAGCTGGTGTGAAGAGACAGGGTGATTGCCCTGAGGCTCTAAAGGGCACCAAGTACATCCTTTCCCAGGAATCAGCTTCCAGCCTTTTTTGGATGCTTTTACAAAGCAAGAGTCAGAGGGTGTCTTAAAGAATCTGTGTAACCCTGGAGGACATTATGCTGAGTGAGATAAGTCAATCACAAAAGGACAAATACTGTATTAGTCCGTTACTGTAAAAGTTAAGGAAAGGTTTATATATTGAAGGAAATTTTCTTTGTTGGTTACCAGGGGTGGGAGGGGAGGGGAGTGAAGGCTGATAGATAGAGATAAGTATTGATTTGGGTGAAGAGAAGGGCAATGTACCAAATGTGAGTGACCAATATGGCA